ATCATTAACACCAATGTCCCTTTATTTGACCTTGCTGCCAAAAAGATGACAAAAGCATTACCAAACAAAAAGAAGAGCTGACAAAACCCCCACAGCCACATTCCTACTGCTCTATCTGCTCGGACAAGTCTCTTTGGCCTCTATTCCCTGCAAATATTTCACTTACACCTGATCTACAATTCCCCATGTTTCCTATTGCTGTCGCCCCCAGGCATGGTGGCTACACGAACCTCTGTGACCTTAGCTCCCACGGGTACAACAAGAGGCCAGCAGGGACAGCAGCATTAAACACTGCTCCCGCCCCGCCCAGCAGCGCGTGGCCTCTAGCTGCTCATACCCCAGCACACTTTATCAGCAAGGGCTCTTCATGCTGTCTTTAAAGAGTTGTGACTTTCCACCTGGAAAGGATCAGGCCTGGGCTCTCACTGGATGTCTTCAGATTTAACCACGTGTTAAAGTTAGAACTCTCTTCATTGCACACATGGCTCATGCACTAATGCAGCCCATGGCAGAGATTTAAAAAAAAAAAAAAAGGATGTCCACTAAATCTACCTGGACTCAATCTAACTGTTAATGGTAGTTTACATTCAGTTGAAAAAACAAAAACTCCAAGACAAATGCTAAACTGGACAAGCCTCTAGGGTCACAGGCATAAACCATGACTGTCCCAGGCAAACTGAGATGATGTTCACTTTAAATTCAAGAATTATCCTAATACAACAGATGAAGAAAGAGGTGCACAGAGACAAAGACTACTTTATCATAAAGAATTTATTGTAAAATTAAGTAAGCTTAAACTTCAGTAAGCTTAAGCCCTTCATCTGAATTTGCCGCTTCCAAGCCTTACACCTAATTTTGTAGTCACAATTTTGTATTCTTGTTCCATAAAAAAAGTTCCTTACAACCTTGGTCTGGCCCTGTATAGAGGTACAATAATTAACTCAAATTTTCATAGCCTATGATCCTATAAAGTGAATTAAGACTGGTATTGATCTGAGTTGGAGAATACACAGCCACACCAGAAAACAGAAAAATAATATTAATTTTTTCCTAAGCAGAAAACTAACTGGTATCACTATCTTGGAGGCTTTCCCTGCTATTCTAACCTACCTACAATTAACACCACATATAAACAAATAGTCATAAAAAGCCACCTTCATTGTGTTACTGCTGAATTTGAACAACTCAATAACAGATCAAATTTGAGTTTCTCAGTCTGACTTTCAACCTATCAAGCGTACACACACACACATATTTAAATATTTAGACATATAACCTCCAGTTACTTATGTCATGTTCATTTTCATCTTCGTTTTTCTCCATCTGAACTTTCCTTTATCCTTGTTTCTGACTGCAAGCCCTAGGCTAAAATTATCCTATGTTCTACTATTGGTCTCAGTGTCTTATTTTTTTTAATCATACTTTGCCCCTGATCTTAAACACTTTCAAACTTAGTGGCATATCTACCAAATAAACTATAAGTGTCTCAGAAAGAGACCCAATTTCAGTTACTTTGTGCCCGCAGCTGGCACAGTGCTTGGTACACAGCACTCAAAAAATATTTTGCACAGGCGAATACAGTAGACCTACATTTCCAAATGTAAACCTTTCCTCACCTAAACACTATCTTTTTGTATCTTTCTCATGACACTGGTTGCATTCTTCAATGTAGGTTGAGAAAAAAAAACTTCCCCTAATTAAAAAAGTATTGTCCTGCATGCACAGTACTGTATTTGTAGATCTGTAGTATCTCATTCTGCACAGGCTATTGTGGCCCAGAGACTGATTATCTATATATTCTATATATTCGTCTTCCTACCACCTTCATGTCTGAGGTGGCTATCCATTTGGTGAAACAAGTCACTGATCAATAATCAGGAAAATTAAGAGAATCTTTTCCAAATTAAAAAAAAAATCAGTGCTTATACCTGCCCTCTCTCAAATTTACACCTCAATCCGACTAGGAAAATACAGTATCTCAGTGGTGACTTGTAAAAAGTACAAACAAACATTAGAGTTCTAGGTCAATGATTCCCAGGGAAAAAAAAAAAAGTTTATTTAATTGGTAAGACTAACAAATGATTGATACTCTAATTTTGTCAAGAAAGAACTTAAAAGAGGAGTGCCATTATAAAAATCAAAAAATGTAAGACTACAATTTTAGAAAAAATAAAGAACAGTCCATTAAATTGAAAAGCGAGTTTCAGGGAGAGCACACTGGGAACTGCTTTCACGAATAATGTAAATTAGTTTCAGCTTAGGCCAAATCTCTTCTTTGAAATGAAATGTTATGTTGCACAGAAGTCCACAAACCTTAACACTAAAACCAAACCGAGTAAGAACTTTAAAAAAGAAAATAAGGGAAGCTTACTTCTTCCCTAGCACCAGCCTGTTCCCATTTTTCCCCCCACAAAAAAAAAAGACATTTACTTTATAACTGGTACTGTCCCTAAGTGAAAGCCATAAAAAGTGAAATGCCAAGTTTGTGTCATGCCAAGAAAAACTGGAAAAACCTGTGCAAGTATAAAGATGCTCCTATCAAATGATCACATAATTTAATATTTATCAGGTTCATATAATATACAAGTATGCTCTGCTTCACTTTAGCATACAATCAGGTCGCTCCAACTAAGACATAATCCTGCGATAGCCTGCTTCATTCATTCCTTCAACAAAAATATTAAAGCCCCTTATTATGTTTTCCTGCCTTAATACAGACCCACCTACTGTCTGCCAAATAATCTTTCCAAGTCCTTTAATACCTCCCTCCCAACCCATCTAAGACGACTTCCTGCAAACTGTCTCCAATTTGATCAATTATTTAACTCACCTCCTTTTCAACTTTTAAGAACGTGTGTTTCATTGCTTCTCTGTGAGTGATGCCTGTTCAGTGCAATATTGCTATCCTTCAAGGCTTAAAGTAATTTCCTGTTTCTCGGTTCTCTAAATAGGCACAGCCCTTTATTTATACTACTTATACAATATTCATACTTCAATGCTGCATAGTGCTAAAACATATTGTTCTCAAATCTTAATTCTTCCATTGATTAGCTGGGTGACCTTGGACAATAAACTTAATAGTGCCTCAGATTCACCATCAGTAAAATGGGGATAACATTTGTCCATACTTTACAGGGTTAAGAGTAAATGAGCTAATATACAGAAAACACAGCACAGTGGTTATTATTTAGGTGCTACTTACCCAGTACTATAGTCATTTACATAATTCTAGTCTCACCATTCTACCACAGATTGTTTTTGTGGACCGAAATTGCATCTTTTCTATTTTCTGACTCCTCTTATACATCTTAACAATGCCCTGAACAGGCAGGCATGTAAAACTGTTGCATGAATTAATGTTGAATACTCTGAAGGAGCTTTGTAAATGTTCTCCAGTTACTTCACCTGTTTGTAATTTAAGTTCCTCACAGTTCTCAAAATTTTCAACCACAAACAACCCTAACAACAGGGGAATGAAAAGTGCCCCAGGATGGTCTTGAGATAAGGATTAAAATTTCTATTCTACCATCACTCCAATCAAGGGCTAGTAGTGATAATAAGCACCGCCTGGGATTCTGAGGCCCCCTCAGGAAGTCATGCTCAGAGTGCCATGATCAACTTATCTTGACTACCCTTGTTTACTGTGATAATAGGAAGTGCAGATAGTACTCATTTTTCATTACCAATCTGGGGGCTGACCCTAAGGAGGGTCTGCCCCATCCCAAGAAAATTTATTTAGAATTGCATTATCTTATCTTAAAACTTCTCTCCAGGAGTTTTTATCTCACTCTATAACGTATCCATGTTTGTTTAAATTAAAAAATATTTTTCCCTCTGATCTCTGTAAAACTGATGCTCACGGGAGGATGAATCATGTTTCTTCAATGGTTTGGTATAATCCATAGTCCCTCTAAGTGCATTACTACCTCATTGTGAGAAACATAATCCCTCACTACCCGTTTTGCGTGCTCCCAGTAGCCAAAAGTTTGAGATATGACAGAAAAATAATAGCACCTATGTTTTAAGAGTGCTTAAGCATCTATGAAATGATTTCGTATCGCACTTAATATCCACATTTTAACGAATGTTAAATTCAGGAAGACCAAATTATAACCATGTGTCAACTCAGTCTTGTGAAGCCTGCAAGTGAATCTTCACTTTCTCTAAAGCGGAAGAGTAATGTTAGGGACACGAGTCAGGAAAAATTCAGATAAATTTCTAAAATGCAATGCTAACACATTCTTCAACAGGATACATGGTCCTGCTCAAACTATCGGCCATAGTTTCAAAAACTGGCAAACACAAAAGCTGTCTTTTCCTCTTATAAAATACCTTAGGAAGTAAATGTGTTATAGTTTGACTCTGTCACCACTGTCCTGGGCCTACTTGTGACAAAAATTGTATTTAATGACTTAACGTTTCTAGCAAAGCAATTCATCGAGGAATTCTGTGAAATGAAATTACAGGCCCACGGGATTCCCATCCCAGTGGACTTCAAGGTCAACAGCAATGAACAGGTTATATAAAACCAAATTATCAACCTATCACGCTTTGGGCAAGTAATCCTAAATGCTAAACAAATCATAAGTTCTCTTTGAAACTTTACCTTCCTTAAAAAAACAAACCAACTTGAATGCATGGTGGACACGGCCCCTCCCCCTCCCAGTGGATCTAGGGGCTGCAAGGATGGCCTCTTCCATGATGGCCTCTTCCACGACCGCCCAGCTCACGCAAAGGCTCTGCATTGGCCCAGAGGCAGCCGCTGGCGAGCGCGGCACAGGCGCGGGCGGAGGCCTCACAGGGCAGAGCAGGAGGGCCTGGGCCGCGCCCACCGCTGTGGGGAGACGGCGGGGGGCGCGGGGGGCTGTCGGATCAGGAACAGCCCCCGCAAGGCCCACTCCGGGCATGTTTGCCCCAGCGACGGCGGCGCCTCCGCGCCAGGCGGAGGGCAGGGGCGCCACGGCGGGGACGGGCGTCCGGGATCGGGCATCGCGACTCACCGGGAGCCCCCGACCCAGTTCATCTTCCCCGACTCCTGGGCGGGAGGACACCGCGGCCCCGACGGCCCACCGGGCGCAGGCGTGCTGTCCCGGGCCGGGCCTCGATCTCCGCAGCCTCAGGCGGCTCCTTCCCGCCCGCGGCCTAAGGCCCAACCTCCCGGCATCCTCTGCGCCCGCGGGGCACTCCTTCCGGGCCTGCCTCCCGACAGCCTCTGCGGCTGCGCCCGTGGGGCCGTGGGGGCGACGCCGGGGCTGTCGCCGCTCAGCACAGGAAACCCCGGCTGCGGCCGCAGGCGAGCGTCTCGAAGCACCGCCAGCGTAAGTGTGGTTCGGTCTGCATAGACCTCAGCCTTCTTTCGTGTCAAAGTCCAGCCCCGGGGCAGAGAAAGAAGGCTGCGTAAACGCCACATCCCTAACCCTACAGGCGCTCCGTTCCCGGGGTCCCCGTAACCAAACGCTTTCAGTATCTTAACCGTGCAGCCTTAATATTCAGCAGTTGTTTACCTGAAGCATTGTACTGCAGTAATTTACTAGTCTATACATTTTTTTTTTTTTTACTGTGAGCGTGTACTTTTTTAAAAATTGTACTTGATACAAATATATCGGTGTCAGCTGTACAACATAGAGCGTGTTGTGAGTTTCCCTGCTTGATTGGGCCGTAAAGGCCCGACTTTAAACTCCCTATTGAAAAAAATCCCAAAACAAAAACTAGATTTTGCCGTTCATTTCTGTGTTATGTTTGTTCATCTTCACGACACTTACTTTACAGACTGTTCTATGATATTTTGGTTAGAGACTAGGAATCTGGTGCCTCAAACAAATGCACAAAGTACTTATTTTGCTCCCAATTGTCATCATAGTTTTCCAGACTTTAACCTGGGGAATACCCCATAACTTCAAATATAACACATTTTCTCTTAAGTCTTTGGGAATTAGTACCTAAAACAGGACTATGTCCCAGCGTAGACATCTTGTTTAATCATACAAATACTGATTTGTATAACACAAATTACCAAAGTATACCTACCATTGCTTTGAATTAGACCAGGTAAATAGAGCATTTCAGATCAGATTAGCATGGAGTGGCTGGTCACTTCTCAGTAACTAAACTGCACAATCAAGGCAGAAGCCAGAGACTAGTGTATTAGCCTTTCCTACTTTAAACATTTTAAAACAGGTACATACTGACTAAATTAAAAGGGGTAAATAATTTGCTAACAGATGGACTGACTTTTTTTTTGCTAAATTATATGTGAAGGGTCATGAAAGAGACCAGTTTGTCTCCAACAATTTGACCAGTTTTTTGAGAAGAGTCAAGAACTGGGAGCCAATAAAACCATCCTTTTCCCTGCCTAGAGTCACTTTCCTTCCAGTCTCACAGAGGCAGTGGAAGTTGCGAATTAGGCTAAGGAAAGACTAATCTGTGAGACACATCTTCAGACAAGATATTACTGCTTTTTCCTTCACAGCAAATGACATTTCCTTATGAGCTAGTTATTAGGTGCTTATTTGTAACAGCTGAAATGTTGATCTAAGCTCTCTTCTTCAATGTTGTTTATGTCTCACATGAATAAGACTAGTGTGACTGAAAGAGTCAAACCCCATGCTATTTTAGGGCCAGTAAGGCAATTAGGTAATCTCTTGGGTCAGGAAACTGTTCTAGAAAGGAATATAGCACAAATGAAATACTACTTAGCATTTGTTGAGAAGAAAGTCCATCTAAAATTATTAAACTTTATCTTTATTGCCAAAAATTACTTTCTGGTGATTACTATCTAAACACACAACACATACATTACCTACATTGTATTTGTATGCATATACTTGTATATGTATGTCTCTAAGAAATTTGTTTTACATTTATAAAGCATATAGTTTTTTAATGTAACTATATATTCTCTAATATATATATTCATAAAATATATAATCTTTAATATATATAAAAATTATAATATATATATAATTTTTCAATCCTGATCTCCCATAGATATTGCAAGTGTCCACTCAGACACTGACATCGAGAGTATCACACTTGAGAACAGAGTAATTGAATAATTATTGCTCATTTTTTTCATTCATTTTCAAGATTTTTGTCTGAGATTATTTCTCCCGCCTTAAGAAAATTTTAATTCTTTACTATATAAACACATCGGAAGTGAGAAGTTTGTATGGAAATTAGGCTGAATTATGTTTACCATACTAAAAAGTCATTGTTTTCTTCACCTGCTTTTTCTCATCTAGTTAGAATTCAAACTAAATTATCATTCTCTTTGCTTTAACTGCATACTGCCAGTATAAAAAAAATGAAAGAAATACCTTAACGTTCTTAGTTTCATATTTAAATGGCATATATTCCTGATTAAAATTACCTACCTGGTTTCTTATCACCTTGAATTCTTCCTCTGCCTTATCTTGAAGGCTTGTGCCTAGTCTCAGATGAAGGATGGCAGTAGAATTTAAATGGTTATAATTCAGTGGTTTTCCCAGTTCTAGTAACTGGGCTTCAACCTTCCTCGTACCACAATTCTGGTCACCAAATGTCTATCTTGATGATTTTCCTCATACGTAATTCATCTTTCTAACAAGCTTCACTCCAGGCAGTAAAAGCTTCTTCCTGTACCCCAGCCTCATTGGTAAACTGACCTACCCACAGCTAAGTGCAGGCTTACTGGGGTCTCTAGTGTTCTTTGCTTCTAGATTTCCCCTGCGCTGACCCATCCCTGAAATCGCTGCCCCTTCCTAGTGATGCAAGCCACCTGCCTCACTGCCAGCTGCTTTCTGACCCGGCATTACTCTGTACTGTGCTCACCCTGGCTGAACATCCTGCTGTCATCCCCCATTAAGTTTACCCGGGACCTTCACTTGTTCTATCACAGTCAATAGATGTGACACAGAGAATTAAAATTCATAAATGTATGGCAGCCTTATTTTGACACTTGAAGAAAAGCGTGAGATTAAGAATGAAAGATTTCGAAAATAACCATTATGACACTGTCATCTCAACATACAGATTTAGGAAGTCCTAAGGGAGTGATGGTTTGTGATGCTGATATGGCCATCAAAGAGACTTGCATGAGTTTGCAGGGTTAGTAAATCCACTGAACTGAATGCAAACAAATGAAACTGTGATGATTTTTGGAATTAACAGAGGCACATGAGTAAGGAGTTTTAAATGTTTAGAACATTGCTTAAATGCTTAGAATTATAAAAGTAAGGGTAGTTCTTACAGAAAACTGAATAATGAAGGTCATTCAACACTAACACAGGTTTTATATTCTAGTACAGAGGTTGCCAAACTTCTGAAGAGAGCCAGGTAGTAAATATTTTAGGCTGTTTCATCTCCCCAACTCTGCCACTGTGGTTTGAAAGCTATAGACAATAGTAAATAAATGAGTGCAGCTATGTTCCAATAAAACTTTATTTATGGACACTGAAATAAAAATTACATATAATTTACACATCACAAAATGTTATTCTTTTGATGTATTTTCAACAAAATCTTCACTGTAAAAACCATTCTTATCTCAAGGACCATATAAAAATAGGTGGTGGGCCAAATTTGGCCTACAGGTTGGGAGGCTGTAATTTGCCAGCCTCTGTTCCAGTTTAATGCATACCTTCCCAGGCTTCCATATGATCAGAAATGGTCAGGTATATTGCGTGTGGAGGGTGGGGTTGGGAAAGCAAAAGTGTTTTTCCAGATTCAAGAATACACTCATCCTTGCCTAAGAAAAATGCCCTTTACGTTTTCTTAAATATGCAGAATTTGCTCGACTATTTAGCAGTTTTAGTCCTCCATTAGGGATGTAGAGAACTTCTTTTAACATTCTTGGTTTTTTGGGTTTTTTTAAATCACATAAATGGAAATGAAAAGTAGCCAGTAGATTATCTCTAAGTCTAAACAAAACCAACAAAATGAAAGCTTGAAATCAAGACAAGGAACTCTTGAAAAGTGAAGTAAGGTCCTGGAGAACCACCTCCACAATCTCTGGCTGGATTCCCAAATGGTTAACTTTTGATTATAGAGTCACATACCTCAAATAACAACCATTCAAAGGACACAAGACAGATACAGGTATAACATTGCTCTCACTTATTTAATAGTCACCTTGTAAATAAATAAATGCATCCGATTTCCACTGCTAAAAATAGTTGTGGGGCTTGAAGATTTTTATTATAAAGACAAGTAAACATAGGGGTGATGGTACAGCAAAGAATTATTTTCTATGATGTGGATGACATCCCTCCTGCTTACAAAAAAAAAAAAAACCCTTCAATTGTCTGATTGTCTGGGAAAAACAGACCCAAGTGTTTGATACTTTCGCCAGTGCCCCTCCCACTTTGTTTTTCTCACTTTCTTCTCTCCCTTTCAGATGCATCTGTTACCCTTTTCAGATTCATTTTATGTTGATCCGCTCGTCCCTCCTCCCTCATCTCCCTGGTTCCTTCTCCCTCATCACGTTTTACAGCACTTGGAACTCGCCCTTTTCCTCTCCGGGTGGTAGCTACTCAAACCTTAGAGAAGGGATGTATATTCCGAAACTTCTGTGGGTTTCTAAGTAATCCTGGGCATGCTCAGTAGCTAGGACAAGTTTTGTCGCCAGCAGCTGCCCTGATTCGACCTCCCGCAAATGAGACGTTTAACTCTTGGAAGTCCTGTCTAAAGCGTAAGTCATTTTGTCCTCTTGCTACGGGTTCAAAGGGAAGCAGCGAGGAGCCCGAGGTCCCCGCGCGCTCACAGCCAATGAGGAGCCTGAGAGGGAGGAGCGTGGGGCGGCTCGGGCTTCCCAGGGAATCGGCCCCAGCGGATGCGCGGAGTCTGGGCTCTGCTGCATCTGTCACAGCAGAGCAAAATTAAAATCAAAACAAAAACAAAATACAGAAGAGGAGGAACGCCGCAGACTATGGAACGCCGTAGAACTTCCTGAAGCATTTGCTGGGGATCCCCGTGGAGCACGATCTTTTAAAACCAATTCTTTTTGAAGCCGGTTGGGTACCTGGGAAAATGACAAATATGCTAAATGCAGCAGCCGATCGGGTGAAATGGACCAGATCGAGCGCTGCTAAAAGGGCTGCCTGCCTGGTGGCCGCCGCGTATGCTCTGAAAACCCTCTATCCCATCATTGGCAAGCGTTTAAAGCAGTCTGGCCACAGGAAGAAAAAAGCAGTAGCTTATCCGCCTGCAGAGAACAGAGAAATACTGCATTGCACCGACACCACTTGTAAAAATCCTTCTCCCGGAGTGAATGCAGATTTTTTCAAACAGCTACTAGAACTTCGGAAAATTCTCCTTCCAAAACTTGTGACCACTGAAACGGGGTGGCTCTGCCTCCACTCGGTGGCTCTAATCTCAAGAACCTTTTTGTCTATCTATGTGGCCGGTCTGGATGGAAAAATCGTGAAAAGCATTGTGGAAAAGAGGCCTCGAACTTTCATCCTCAAACTGATCAAATGGCTCATGATTGCCATCCCCGCCACCTTTGTCAACAGCGCGATCAGGTACCTGGAGTGCAAACTGGCTTTAGCCTTCAGAACGCGCCTAGTAGACCATGCCTATGAAACTTATTTTACCAACCAGACCTATTACAAGGTGATCAATATGGATGGGAGGCTGGCAAACCCTGACCAGTCTCTTACTGAAGACATCATGATGTTCTCCCAGTCTGTGGCTCACTTGTATTCCAATCTGACCAAACCTATTCTGGATGTAATCCTGACCTCCTACACTCTTATCCAGACCGCTACATCCAGACGAGCGAGCCCGATTGGGCCCGCGGTATTGGCAGGGCTCGTGGTATATGCCACTGCCAAAGTGTTAAAGGCTTGCTCTCCCAAATTTGGTAAACTAGTGGCTGAAGAAGCTCAGAGAAAAGGCTATTTGCGGTATGTGCACTCCAGAATCATAGCCAATGTTGAAGAAATTGCCTTTTACAGAGGACATAAGGTAAGATAGAAATTAAGGTGATGGATGAAATGTGAGACTGTTCAAACTACCGGTGCAGTGCCAGGTACCATCTGTTATACTGTTGATGGACCCGCTTCTGTAGTGTTTTAGATTCCTATGACACCTAAACCTGTATTAAAATATAGGCTTCATTACCCTTTTCAATCTCAAGCTGTTCAGGTATAGAGTACCAACTTTTCTAAAGTTTCATGAGAATAAGGTTGTCAGCACTTGAAAAAAAAACAGTTACCTTAGCCTCAGTTACCTAGATATGCTCAGCATTATCTCTAAAATATTTTCTTCAGGCTTAAATCCTAACTGGTCCTAGCAAAGTAGAAGAAAATATATGTTTAGAAACTAAGTAAACACATTTCCAATTGAGATGGAAAATTTAGGATGTTATTCTTTTTGTTGTTGTCCCTTTATTTTTATTTTTGTTGTTTTAAAAATACATGCTTTCATATGAAAGACGAGTTTGGCAGTTTTGCATATCTGGTCAGTGATGGAGAGTCCTCCGTCCTGGGAAGTGCGGGAGAGTCGCTTCACAGACGGCATGTCCATTACTCTTAGGTAACGTTCAGCACCACATTTTGACGCAGATCAAGAGGCAGTGGAATGAAATTTTGTCTAGCTTTGAGGGAAAAGCTAAGATTAGGAAAGAAATGAGGAGGAGAAAAGGAGTTCTGGAATGTTATTTTTAACTATTAAAGATTTTCAGCAGCAGTAAGCAGGTCCCTAAAATAGTTAACCTAATTGCAGAAATTTGCAGTGCATTAAAGTAACATAAGAACATTAAATATGACAAATTTTTAAGGTGATGCACCTGAAATCTTACTACAAATGACTTGGCAAATGAAATACTAAGGTATTCCAAAGTCGAAACTGGTATTTTAGTTACCAGGCAGAATTAATTTTTGAAGCACCATCAATTATCAAAAAGCAGTTTTATCATAGTACCAATCTGAAAAGGAAAACTTTAAAGCAAATTTAGGACTTCTCCTCTTACTTGAAAATTGACCTTATATGTTGCATTAATCATTCTGATCTGTCATTCTTGAATCATTGGACTCAGTGATATAAATTACAGCATGCTGTAGGCTTCTTACATTCAAGACAAAATTCAGCAAATTGAGTTAATTCGCAAGTGGAGTCTGATTATACATATATGTGTCAAGTATTTATATTCAATTTTTGGTCTGATCAAGAAAGATAAGGTTCTAACACTATCCATGTCTTACTGAATATCATTTAACATTTTATATATATAATTTGAAATCATAATTATAAATCACTTATATGTATTTTATACCTAACATTATATTTACTATCATGGTTTTCTTTTTTTAAATAGTACAGATGTCACCAAAACTAACTAATAATGACTAATTCTGATATTCATCTGTATATGTTGGTTGTTAGAATCATAGCTAATGCTATTCTAAGTAAAACAAAATAATATGAACATCTTTAAGGAAAGTCCTCAAGCATTCAATATTTCTCTTTATAGCTCCTGCTGGGTTCATTCTTACATCTTTTTCCCTCTATAGGTAGAAATGAAGCAACTCCAGAAAAGTTACAAAGCTTTAGCAGATCAGATGAACCTCATTTTATCCAAACGTTTGTGGTACATCATGATAGAACAGTTCTTGATGAAGTATGTGTGGAGCAGCAGCGGACTGATTATGGTGGCTGTGCCTATTATCACTGCAACGGGCTTTGCAGATGGTGGTAATAACATCTACACTTAATCTCAAGTACTTGTTTAAGATTCTTTCTCATGAAGGTGTCACTGCTGGTTCTGTGTGAGTGAAACTATGTTCATAGTCATTATTCCATAGTCATTAAAGATCAGAAACAGTGACAGACTTTCTACCATTCAATGATAAGACCAGCAATAGGACTGAAGACAAGTGGCTCAAAAGGCCTTTCTAGTTCTGAGGTAATTCGGAGATCTCTGATGCAGTGGTTCTTAGAGTTGCCTTCAAAGAATTTTGGTTGTACTGTCTAATGATTCTCTAGTTTACATTTAAACTCAAAGCAAAGTAATACCTTCAAAAAGAGTATAATACAGGTTTTCCCCATGTTTTGTAAACTTCGGTTCTGCACATCCTATGCATTCAGTCTACAAATATTCTATAACTGGATCTGCCCTGGTCTGTGATTTGAAGTGTTAGTTGACTACCTTAAGCAGCCAGGAATATTGTTACAGGGAGTACTTCATGCCACAGACCGAGGTCTCCTCTACTTGGAGGTAATAAAGAGATTATCGCCCATGTAGCATGGTTTGCTGGCATTGTGGGGTAGGGGTTGTCACGTTGCACGTGCCTTAATTCTATCCTATCACCATCTCGGTGGTTTTTACCAGCATTTTTCATCCTTTGGAATAACTAAGATAAGGGTCAGAAGAATAATGCTGAAATGTGTAATACTTGAGATGGGAGTTTGGGTCATAATTGGCAGGGATGGTATACAGTTAATCAAAGAAGTGGCATTTTCTTTTCTTCCTCCAAATAAAAACATTCCTCCTCCCTTTTTAAAAATTGCCCAAAACTGGCCTTAGTGTTGAAAGAATGAGACAAAGCATGGGCTTTGCTGGAGAGTTTTGCTCGACTATTGCCTTTCCCTCTTCCTACCCATTTCCTTAGTCATGTTAATTAAACTCTCTACATTTCAGTTTCCTCATCTGTTAAATGAGAATCAGAAAGGCTATTTCAGAGGGTTGTTCTGAAGATTTAGTAGAATAATGTTTATGTTATAAATAATGTTTATAAAGAGCAAGCTCTTGATGTTTTTGATACATGGTGACAATTATTACCTAGAAAACAAAAGGCGACACTGAGAATAATGTAAATGAATTCACACTATTTCAGTTCTTTGGGTGTAGAATTAAGGATTAATAGTTATTTGTTTGAAGCCATTTAATAAAAACAAATTTTAAAATACCTTATGCTTTAATATTTTGAAACAACACTTCAATGCTTTAACCAACTCTTACAAAAATATTTGCCAAATTTGAGTCATTCTTAACCCAGAATTGTTTACTTCAGTAAATTAGGATTTATCAATCCCTTGTGATAAGTGTTATTCTAAATATACTCCACAACTCAACTGTCTAATAGTGTATTTAGACCATTGTGAAAATGGAATTTTATCTGCTTTTATGTTTTCAAATTTCATTTTTTTGTATTTTTAAGTTACTGAAAATCATTGTTTTTAGTATTTTTAGACTTAATCCTTTCATGCTGAAATGCATTGCATTTTCAAAAGAGTATTAGAGGGAAAAAGACTTAAGAACCTATGGTCTTGAGGTTAGTTTTACTAAAAATTTGACAGAATTGTCAGATATTCATTGTGAATCTTTCTAAGTATATGTTTTTTTAAAAAGTTTCATATATAATATATATTAGAAACAAATACAATGACAAGATTATGGTGTAGTTCTGTTAGTCCTTAGAAGCACTGGTCTTATTAGAAAACCCTGGAGTATTCAACAGAGAACAGAGAAAATGTAGCTATTAATAGTGACAAATTAACCCCACAGAGACCAGTAAGAAGTAAACAACATATGCAAAGAATCTAACAATCTCATTTCTCTAGGTGATGTAACAAGATTAAAAATAATTCCTACAAATCCTGAAAATACCATATTAAATTAAAATTTTAGATTGCAATTATGATAATCATATTGATGTAAGTGAAACTTTAAGTAATTCTTAAAGCTTCTTTTCAAAAGAAAATTTTATACCAAGAAAAGTAATATAAGAATTTCATAGAAGAAAAAAATGAATAATGTCATAATATATGACATTATTGTGACAGTATGCTTCAGTATCTCCTGTAATTTCTCAGGTAACTATATATGTGCTCATAATGTTTGTGGGTATGTATTTACTAAATATATTTGGCCTATAGTGACTTAACACATGAAAATATTAATATCATTTTACTCAGACAAAATAATTTATTATTTTTTAGATAATGATATATCTTTGAGGCTTCAGGTCTTGGAATTACAGACCTGAGTTGTCCCTTATATTAGAGATAAATTAAGTACATAATATTATATATTTTAAGGCAAAAATGGGTTGAAAAAATAGCCAAATTAGAGAGGAATGGCAGAAAAAAAGAAGAGAAATGTAGGATAGAGAAAAGAAAGCATACAGAAAGAAGCAGGCCACTGTTCAAATCTTAACTCTGCTATTTAGTAGTTATTCATCCTGTAGAAAGTTACATAAACTTTATATCCCTCGGTTTTCCTATCTTGATTTTAAGGATGCTAATATATATCTTATGGCATTGTTATGAAATTATAGGAAATGTATTCAAGTGCTTTGAAGCAGTCCTTGGCAAGTAGTAAGACCTTAGGTGGAAGCATTGTTAATATTGATTATATTCTTACCATATGGCCTCTGGCATCAGATTGCCTGGATTCATGTGCTGGTTCCATCGCTTGCTAAGTACGGCTGTGACTATGGGCAAATCATTTAACCTTTCTGTGTTTCAATTTTCTCATTTCCAAAATGGGGGGAATTTATAGCAGAATTAAAGATGATGGATGACATATCAAAAACTTAGAACAATACTTGCCTCGTAAGATATGCTCAACAGATGTTTGCTGGCATGATTGTTATTGTTAAAGGCATTTGCAAGTGATTAGGAAGTCAGAGGTAAAAATACAGATAGGAGGAAGAGCTTGCATAATTTTTTGTGGGGGGCAAGAGAAAAGAAAAATAGTTCTATAGTAGATTTGTTATAGCATTTACCTATAACTTTAAGGGCAGTTACACAGTAAGGACAGGGTTATGTTTATATTCAAATACACATTACAAAACTGTATATGGTATGCCATTTCACATCAGAAGAGGAGCTTACAGGTCATCTAGTTTGGAGCCCAAGATTTGCCCAAAGCCACCCAGATGGTTAGTGGGAGTACTAAGAATAGAAGACATGATGTAAATCCTGGTGCACTACTTTCTCCCCTTCACCATGCTGCCTCTGTGTTAGCTATACTGGAACTTAGTCTACAAAGGACTTAGTTTGAGACCAAATAATCATGAAACCAAATGATTGAAAAAGAGGCATTGAAATAGCTAATTATTAGTTTCTATTTTACTTTTCTAGGGGACATTACCCCTTTATTGCTTTGTGTTAAAAGCAAGAATGAAATTATGTGAAGAAAATAGTTACCTGGGAGCTATAATCTCAATTTTTTAATGTCATAGGCACTCCTGTTCTCATCATACCGAGGGTAGTTCTGGGCAAGGCCAGCGAAAGCTCCTTACCAGGTCCCTCTTGGATAAGATTACCCTCCTGTTGACCAATTATTGAAGCAGCAATTATCAATACATATCAAAGATATACATTTTTTAGCTGTAATTAGCTATGCATATATGTAACTGTAATTTTTAAAATATAACATGCATGCCAATGAGGACAGAATCGTTAGTGTCCCACTGAATGAATCTTTAAGGTCAGTGCATTATGTAATCACCACTCAGAAGGAACAGAACCTTATCTTCATTCCAGAAGCTCCCACATCTCTTTGCAGTCGAAGCCCCTTCCTCAGCCCCCACACCCATCCCCACTTACTCCTGCCCCATACCCACACTTTCATGCCACAGCCCAAGTGAGTATTTTACTGACTATTCATTGGTATTTGCTGCTTTTGAACCTTGTATAAATAGTATCATATGGTACATATGAGAGTTCTAGTTGCTCCACATCTTTGTCAATGTTTGATGTCAGTCTTTGTCATTTTAGACATTCTTTTGAATGTCTTCATTCAGGTCTTCATCGTGGTCTTACTGTGCATTTCTCCAGTGACAAATGTGTTCAACAGTTTTCATTTGTTTATTGGCCATTTGGACAGCCTTTCTTATGAAGTGCCAATAAGTTTTTGTTCATTTTTAAATTGAGTTATCTGGTTTTTTCTTACTCTTTCATAAAAACTTTTATGTGTTCTATAATGAGTCTTTTGTCATACACGTTCTCTCAAACATCTTTTTCTGCTCCATTTTTTCCTCTTTCATCTTAATGGTATCTGAGACAAGTTCATAATTAAGTGTAGTTCAACTTATCAATCATTTTTCTTAGTGGTTAGTGGTTTTATGTCCTGTATAAGAACTATTTGCCTAAACTTATACCAAGAAAAGCTATAATTACTGTTATTGACTATACCCTGACCGCGTTTATTTTCTTTTTTCTTTTATCATATGGAATTTCTATTTTATACAGTTTGAATGATCTCTTAAGACTTTGTAGACATAATCATATAATGTATTATATGCTTTTGCATAAATGGAAAGATAAATAAATTTTTCACATTGAAAAAAATATTATTTGCCTAACCTAAGGTCATAAAGATATTCTGTTTTATCTTCTAGAAATTTATTGGTTTTCCATTTCATATTGAAATCTGCAATCCAATTAGAATTTATATTTATGTATATTATAAAGTAGGGTAAGGCCATACGTTTTGCTGAGATTTGGAGGGTGACAAAGGTAAAATATAAATGAAGATAAGGAAACTCTGATTCTAAGTTCATAGGAGAAAAATAGAGAAATACCCAACATTTTTTAATTTTTTGATAATTAATAGACATTTCTAAGAGCAGTTTTAGGTTTATAGAAAAATTTACCATAAAGTACAGAGAATTCTAAATATCCCAGCTTTCACACAATTTCCCCTATTACCTGCATCTTGTATTGGTATGGTTCGTTTGTTATGACTGATGAGCCAGTATTTATACATCACCAACTCAAGTCCACAGTCTCCATTAGGGTTCATTCTCTGTATTTTACAGTTCTGTGGGTTTTGACAAATGTATAATGGATATAACCTCAGTTTTTAAATACTTTCTCACCTTTTTAGTGAAATAGCAACAGACATGACTATGTTTCAATATATACTTACTATTAGCAGAGTGGGAAAGTAGCAGAAAGTGAGCAGATATCATGTTAAATATTAAATCCTTAAATGAGGAACTTTTGAAAAAATATTTAAGATATTTGGTGAGGAAAATATGATGTGTTGACCTCAGATACAAAACAAGTGAGGGCTTTAGGTCATGAATTTATTTCTCTGACACCAGGGAATCGGCCTCCTCAGAGAGGTTACACAGTTGGCTGTTGGGTGCATTACAAAATACTACTGGCACCGCTTTCCCAGTGCCAGCCAGAGAGCAGCCAGTAGAATAAAAGTTAAATCTGTCCAGAGCTATTTGTAATTTTGTTCCTAAAAGCATGAAGAGAACCCAGTAGACATGAATCGGCCGAAGCAGCGTGGGAAGTACCATGCCGTGTCGCACACCAGGCCATCTGTGTTGGTGCTTTTCCTCCTTAGCAGGGGCTGTCATGAAAGCTGCACTTCAAATCCCTTATAACCCAAATTCGTAACATCACATAATTATTTTAGATCATCAGCCAAATTCTCTGAGTCCGAACTATTCTTAGTGCTTTAACTGAAGCAGCAATTCACTCTTTTGGTTAGCTTGCTGAGAATTTTCTGATAGTTTTTTTGTGTGTCTATCTAAATTTTATCACACATCTAAATGTGTTGAAGAATATCTACATTCTGTTCCCAGATATTTATCCAATCAGTCTTTCACTCCTCATTTATACCAGTGTTCAGAGTTTTTTATTTATCTCATTCTTCAAGAGAACCAACTGTAGTTTCTAGAGCAGTAATTAATAGTAGGGTCAGGAGGGACCGCACTGGACTATCATGAAAGGTCCCCGTGAACTCAGGGTGATTCTGATATTCAAGTGAAATCAGTGCCGGACTCCAACCCTACTGTAACATTACCGGGATGTTTGTCATTCAATCGGCATTGCTTGAAATTTCCCTTCCCTGTGTTATCGCTATTGCTGCCCTTCTCTGTGAGCTATTGAATTGTATGCTGTGCTTAAGGCCTCACTCAGTCTGCTCCTCCACGAAGCATTTCCTGTCTCCTGCAGCAAAAAATGAATTTTGCCTCCTCCCAGCACCTCACATTACCTCTCATCATAGGCTTCCCTGCCAAGCTTATTTGGAAACTTGTCTTCTCTCTTCTGCCCAACTGTAAGCTCCTTAAGGAAAGAGTCTGAAAATCACCTTCAGCCTTGCATGTCCTCTAGCACCTTGCCTAATTTCTCACAAATCTACATACTCAGTAAACACCTGCTGAGTGAATTTTACCTTACATTATGCATGGAACCCTTTCAAACTCAACAGAGCCGTCCATGGGCAAGTGCAGGTAGAAGTATATGGTAGTCATAGCAGGACACAAGTTAACTGTTTACATTGTCATGGAAGAAAAAACCTTTGCACTGAGATAAACCAGAGATCTAAATATCAAAGTGGACCTATGGCTATCTATGTCATTCTAATTTTTTCATTAATTTATAGCATTTAATGTAGAGCTTTGGAGATAATCTGTAGAAGGATCAGACAGCGAATCAAGTTGATGAAAAGATTAAAGTAATAACCCAGAGAGAATAATTTTGAAGAATAAGATGAAATTGAGTACATATGCAATAATAAAAATAATAACTAGAGGAAATAATAACAGCTAACATTGAGGACACTTATACGACATAGACTAAGCTAACATTTCATTGGCATTTCACCTTTAAACTTCACAACAACCCTTGAGATAGAATTGTTTGAGATGGTACTATTATTTCCTTCATTTACTCATAAGAAAATAGGTATAGGTAAGAGTTTGCTTCGGTCACCTTACTATTTGTCAGTAAGTACTGGAGCCTGGATTCACCTTGTCTGACTCCTTACTCTTAGCCATAATTCTGCATTGACAGTAATTTAGGATATTCAGACATCCATGCACCCAGGCATCCATTCAATATACATTAAGGAGTATTATGTGCTGGACACTCTGCAGAATATAGGAATAAAGAATAAAACACACAACCTTGACCCTTAAGGAACTTACAATGCATTACAAAAACCAGACAAGCATTTCCAGGGAAGCGTGTACTAAAGAGTTAACTTTCCTGAGTTAAGAGTTAGGCAAGAAAAGAAAGGGAAATATATTAAAGTTGGAAGAAATCGTATATGCAAATACCAGAGGATATACAAGAGTATTACATGTTTGGAATACTGCTGGGTTAAGAAGAGTTGAAATAGGTAGACGGAGAATAGATTTGGGGGGTCAGCCATTTGCATTTCTGTTAATGCAAATGGAACCTCACTAGAAATATTTGCTTATATTCTAGTTAATTGTATTTTATTGACCAAATCAGTATTTTATTTCACTAAGTGAAAATAGCCTTAATACCTATAGATTTAATTGTTCTAATTCTCTTTTAAGAAGAGTAATGAAATAAAAGAGAGCTATTTTCAATAATTCATGAGATTTCTAGGAAATTGCTGAAACTAATGAAAAATTTACATGTGGTTCTTTTAGCCACAATTTCATTTGTATTAAACATTTAGTTACTTGAAAAAAACTCAAAACAGTTTTGTAATTTGCTTGTAGATCTAGAGGATGGCCCCAAACAAGCTATGGTTAGTGAACGGACAGAAGCCTTTACCACCGCTCGAAATTTACTGGCCTCTGGAGCTGATGCTATTGAAAGGATTATGTCTTCATACAAAGAGGTACTTGCATTTCCTGTCGATCTGATTATAGTCAGATATGTGAAAATCAAGCAAAATGTAAGTCACCAGATATACTCAGTGTTTTGGAAACACATCTTTTCTCTAGCAAAAATTGCCAAGAATATAATCAAGATAAAGGGCAGCAACTCTCAGGTGTATTGCTGCTCATATCCTTTAATTTTTACACTCTCAACTGTAACTCCTCTTTTTCTGTCTACAGTATGACATATTTGTTTTTAAATTAAAAAAAAAAAAAAGTCCCCTAGGTGTGGATTCTGGAACCAGAGTGACTAAATTTAAATTCTTGCTCCAGTATTTACAAATTATGTAAACTTGATCAAGTTTCTTAATCTGTCTGTGTCTGTTTCCTTATCTCTAAAATGGGGATAATGATAACATTGACTTTGTAAGGGTGTTGTGAATTAATCCATGTAAAATATTTTAAACAATACATATTAAGCATTCAATAAAGGGTAGCCTATAATATTACTTATATAACTTGCAAACTTTTACTCATCCTCCTTGACAAGTCAAGCCTCACCAGCCACATATGACTCTTGTGAATCCATCTTTTTCTTACTTTCCCTACAAGGTCTGGATCCTCCTTCTCTGTGTTTACAATACATCTGGTGCTTTATCATATTTTAATTATCTCCTTACCAGACCCTGAGTGGAGAGCGGGAACTGTTTTACTCATCTACATTGCTAATGTCTGTTTTAATGCCTGGAATATTATATGTGATCAATAAATATTTGCTAAGAGAATAGTAGTAAGACCTACAGATATCACATGGTTTTGATTAAAAAATCACTGTATTCAACTCAAATATACAATATTCCCTTGGACAGTTATTCTCCCTATCAATTACTCCTGTGGCTTTTGCATTAATATAAATTATCAGAGCATCAGTATAAATTAACCGTCTGTTAAATCATCCTTGAGTAAACCATGTGAAAGAGTCACAAAGTTTGTGATTTGCTGACAAAACTTTACAGTCTCATTTATTGATTTATTGAACTGCTTTTTTGTTTTTCTTTTGTTTTTTAAATAAAACCCAGTATTTAAGGCCACATAGCAAAACAACTCAATTTTTAAAAATTTTCAAATAGTAATTTTGATAATTTGGAGACATAGTTTTTGGGGTAGGTTTTTTTGTTGTCATGAATTACTTATTAAAATTAAATGATAAATCAACATTTCATCCATCTCACGTTAAGACACTTTGCTGTAAGTCACAGAAAGAGTGTTAATTAGTTTTTCTAGATTGTCTCCAACCCAAGAAATAATTGTGATTTGCTTTATTTTGCCTGAATGTGTTTTGAATCATATAATATTCATTTCTACAGAATCTTAACCACCACCGTGACAGCGTGGGAAAGCACCATGCATTCTCTGCTAATCAGAGTCCCAGCACAGACCCCCTGTCCTGTGTCCCAAAGTCATTTGTCTACAGTCACATTCTCAGTTTTTCTCAGACACTCAGTGCCCAGCCCACCCTGCAACCTGGTCTACTAACTCATTACCTCCTGACTTTCTTTAATTTACTATCCATTTGGTTTTGGAGTTTTTTTCTATGCAAATATTTTTACCCAGGTTTCCTTTGAATCCTTATTTTATCAATTCTTTGCTCTGTTTTCCTCTACTTGGGAACTCAAGAGATTCTTCCAGGTAACATTTTAGAAATTACCCTTTAAATAGCTGTAACATAACGTATAAAAGTAACAATCTAATTACAGACTTCTCACCAGATATATGTGGTAGAAGACTTTAATAATGCTACCTACTCATTTACTGCTTAACTTTTGCACACACAAAAATTTGACACAAATGTCAGTATTATTGTATTATCCCACAATTTTTTAGTGGCTTGCCTTGCTTATTGGCACCAATTTCCCAGTGAATATTTCTGTGAGGGAATGGTTTTTGTGCTTCCCTTTTCACTGAGAAAGATGGTCTTGACAGGAGATGAGTCACCTATCACAGTCCCCTGATAACAAGGTGTTCTTTTAATAGAAAAACAGCAGGGGAGTCAACCTAAATTGGACAACTGGCAGAATGGGAGCAAGACACCACTCTTTTGAGCCTATGGACTACAGCATAGATTGATCTCATTTTTTCCTATAATCCCATCTGGAAAAAAAGAGCCATATTTAATGTTTTCCTTTGGGCATATAAATTATGTTTGACTCAAAAAGAAACTGAATTGTGGGATTTGGTCTGAAAAGGATTTGAAATTTTTCACTGAGCTCACTCTCAATTTTGGAATCATCCAGAGAGTTATTTTCTCTGGCTAACCTTAGGAATTTTGATAATCAGTTCAACTCAGAAACATTCATTTCATACTAAGAAAAAAATGTATTTTTCCCTTTCTTTAAGTCTTTCATTTTAAATTGGAAAAAAGATATCAAAATAGAGGATCATTGTTTCATTGAATGAACTGAAGCTTTTCACAAAATTTCTAATTTTCTGGAAACAAAATTCATCATGTAAACAGGGGCCCAATCAGAAATTTGACTGGAAGATCTTTAAGCCCCTCTAATATTCTAAAATCTTTACATTTCATTTGGAACCCTGACTTGAATGAATAATTCCTTATGTGTTTTATAATTCCAGTCAAGCTTAGACTGACACTTTGCCATGTTGCTCTCTTGGTAAACTTTTTATTGTTACTTGTTTTAGTTAGCAGGTGTGTTACCTATAGTTTGCATGTAATAAAATAAATTCTTTAACATTAAATGATTTTGTATATTTATTTTAAATCAGTCTTGGGCACACTAACTCTGTTTTACTTCTCTGTGTTGGTTTTTAGATCACCGAATTAGCAGGCTATACCGCTCGAGTGTATAACATGTTCTGGGTCTTTGATGAAGTAAAGAGAGGCATTTATAAGAGAACTGCTGTCATGCAAGAGTCTGAAAACCACAGCAAAAATGAAGCTAATGTACATTTACTCCTCAGTGACACATTAGAAATCAAAGGTATTAAACTCAAATGTTCATATATTTTCCCTATATTTAAGCATTAACTTTAACAACAGAACCAAAGGTTTTAAAAAGATAGCTTTTAATTATTATAGAAAAAACATTTCATTATTTAAATAATTACTCCAAAAGTTAGTGTTGCAAACTGAGAAGTGGTGACTAACATCACCATTAAAAAAATACTATGCTACTTTCATTTAAGACAAAATTCTAGAATTATTTTTGGTAACTGCACATATGGCAAAATGAATTGTTTGCTTTTAAAATTCAAATATAGAATTAGGGTTAATGTCATATTGTTCTTTGTTCTGTGTTTTTTAAGCCTACATGTGGGTATCATATTTTGACAAATTGTATGATTTCACATCTTTGTTGCCTTTTTTGCAGCATGGAAAGATTAACTTAGAGAAATAAGTAGCTGTAAAAAGCATGGCTTGATTTTAACAAATAGAGTTGAGCTTTGCTCTCAGTATGCTGTTGATATTAGATTATTGCAGAATAATGTTCCTGAAAAAGATTTTTCCAAGTAGATGTGTCGCGATGCCAATGTTGACATCAAACTTAGATTTGGATGTAGGGACCTGGATTCACGTATGTTTCTGTGATTTATCACTGTGATTTATCTTTATAATGAACTTATCTGTTATGCTGCTTTATCCTTTTGAGTTATTTAACTAGCAATAATGTGATAGGTTTTGTAACATACACTGTTACTTCATTTGTAGGAGAAGTAATTGATGTGGATCATGGAATTGTTTGTGAGAATGTTCCCATAATCACACCGACAGGAGAAGTGGTGGCTTCCAGGCTAAACTTCAAAGTAAGGTGATATTCAGGAATCTTCTGATTGTTGCCATCACACTAACACAAAACAACTCAGAATTCATGTACCTTTTGTTAAATGCTTGGAGGAGCACATGGAAAGGAGGGAAAATCAAGACAGGTATGCGTAGTGGCTCAATTACAGAACAGTTACTTCCTCAGAAAGCAGAGAGAAAGAGAAATTTAATTTCTACTGCTTTATTGCCCGGTTGAAAATAAAAATTACAGTGCATTGAGGGCCTATACGAGGTAAATTTGGGGGACAATAGATGTCCTCAAAAATTAATATCTGTAAACACATTTTAATTTTTCTCTTTATAAGAATTACTCAAAATATACAAGCCTATATTGTAATGCATGTACTAAAATACAGGGATAGAGGTCATTAGAAGTTGACTTCTGTTAATGCACATTCTGTAAATTTATATTTTCAATAATCATATCTTCTACTAAGAAAAATAATTAGAAAATTCATAGGTTGGAATTTAGGTTTTAATTTTGTTAAGAATAAGAGTTATTTGTTATTTAATTGTCTATGTCTTGATTACAAAAGATGTAAAAATAGCTAATAAGCCTGAGGTCCTGCTATAAAGCATTGTAAGATTCAAGTGAACATTTTGAAGTTAAAGTGCAAAATAATTTACTGATACACATTAATGACTAATGAAGACATGTAAGCTTCAAGCAAAGACATGATTGAACTTGATAACAGAGTTACAAACATGGCAGTAAATGTACTAATGATTTTTAATATGGACTTAGTCTAGGTTAATTATTAAAGATGTATTTGCAAATAAACAAGGGTGCTAGAAGAGGATGGGAAGTGCTGAAGGGGGGGAATCTGTGTTAATAAATATAAGAGAAATTGCATTTTAGCTACAATTCAGTCAGGCTTTATTTCCCCATTTATAGGTCTATAGAGTATTTAATTATTTGGACCTGAACATTATTACCACAGAGGTGCTGATGAGTCACCATAATCTCATGTAGACCAGAAATAAAACATTTGAAGAGGCATGTGTGGAATATTTAAATATTTTTTAATAGTTCAGCAACGTAATTTATAACTTTTTGTACAGAGTTTGTCAGGTTAATTTTATAGTATCAATTCTTGTTGCTCCATTTATTAAATAAAGTAAGAGTCTTAAATTCTGCCAACTACTACCAACATTATTGTGGCAACATCACATTTTTATGAAAACATTCAGAGCTCAATTTATTTTTATATGAAATGAATTTTTTAAAAAGTTAATCTAATAAAGGTATCATAAATCTTGAAGTTCTACAAGATACGTGTTAATATAGTACATTTTTATGATAATTTTTATTTCTGACACAGACAGGGTCGAAGTTTCATCTAAATCTCAGAGCCCTAGAATATAACACCAAGTTCTGTTTCCTGTACGTGGACTGACAGACTGGTTTCTAGAACAGGCTCTCACCCTCTTGTTAGCCCTTCAGAATTAAAAACAATTTAGAGAAGAACATTCAATGAATCTGAGAATTCTTTTTTGCCTCACACTCACCATTTACTAAATACCATAAAACACATGCTAAAAACGGTAATATGCATATAAAAAGTCTTCTACTAGGACTCAAAGTATGTTAAATTTCTGAGAATTCCTAAAAGAGAGTGACCCTATTAAAATATTTTGTGAATATGCCTTTTGCCGTGGCACATACTTAAAAAAAATCATTTGGGAAGTACTTATGCTTCTACAAAATTAGACTTCCTTAATTCTGTCCTTAGTGAAAGAGCACAGCAAATCACAAAATTAATTCTTTCTGGGTTCTTCCCAGGATTTTCCTTGAATTTCATTTCAGTTTGGCTACAGTTAGGGGGAAAAAATATCTCAGGTCAGGTTTTACAGAATCAGGCTTCCTTCTGGAATGCTCTGCCCCAGGTCTCACTGTTCTTGTCACCCCCACTTAGCCCAAATGTTATCTCCTTAAAGAGGACTTCCCCAGCCACTCAATCAATAGAAAGCCCCCTTCCCACCTCAAAGTGCCATTTTTCCCTAACATTTCTTCCTCTTTTATATTAGCATTTATTATTACCTCTGTCATATTAGCATTTATCACTAAATTTTTTGTTCATGTGTTTACTGCTGTCTTTCCCATGGGAAGGCAAACTCCATGAGAACTGGGACCCTGTCTTGGGGCAGCACCGTATCCCCCGCCGAGAGGAATGTCAGGCGCACAGTAGATATTTCATCAAAGTTTGCTGAGGAAGTACCTAACTATTCAGACAAAATATGAATCTGAACCATGTTTGCTTTACATATACTTATTCTGTACATTCTCAGTCCATTTACTTAACTTCCGTTTCAACCCTTTTTTTTCCCTTCCTCCCTCCCTCTTCCTGTTGTCTTCTTTCAGCTCATATTTTACACAGCAAATGAGTAATGGCTAGACATAGCCCTGGCTGGTCCCATATTATAATGCAAGTAATATAATAATGCTCTTTCATCGTGGAGTTTTCAGTATGATTTGCTCTGCGTCACTGATACTTAGATGTTTGTATCTATACTATGCAAAGCTACATCAACAGATATACTGTACATTTCTGCCTCTCATGCTTTCATTCTATATTCACTTCTAAATCACTGGTATAAGATATCATTTGTTCTTAAAAGTGGGTCAAAATTTTTAATGATATTTTTCCTTTTTCTTCACAATACCCTTTAAATACCACACTAAGACAACTTCCCAATCCTCTTGCATGGAATGAGAACTCATGGAATTTAACTGTTTAAATTTAAGTGATAAATAAGCTAGAAGATTCTAAAGAGAAGCATCCAATTGGTAATGGATAACTAACTTGTTTTATATATGTCTATATACATATACAAATATGTATATATTTGTTTTAACTCATCCCTAGACATAAGACTAAATTACAATCTGCTTGATTTTTTTCTATTTTGGTTTAGTAAACCTATTTTCTCCACCTGTGAATAAAGCAGAATTAGAATCATTTTATGTCTCTGATTACAGGCTTTTGTGATTTCTGTAGCATTTCAGACTGCTGAAGTACGAAATTAAACGACCCGGTTGGCTCTTGGAGTAACTGGGCTTTATAGCTAAATAACTCCAACTGATAAATACAACAATGTCGTATTTGAATTCAATATAGATTTAATCAAACATTATTATAAATAAAATTTAATGTTTTAATTTAAATGTTTACGGTTTCTTATTTCCCACGTGGTTATGTCATTACATGTGTGTGTCTGATAACAAGACCTCCGTTAAGATCTTGGAGGCCAGTGCTCATTCCAAGAAGATGCGTTTTCTTTGGAATTGGATTTTTTTTATGACACTTTTAGCTTCAGAGCATAGTCAAAAGTCAACTTTGATGTTTTCAATCCTGATATATTTTCTTTGATTCCTGCCCATCCTAGGTTAACATGTGTTGGAAAGGTTTTATTTTTAATCATTTTTAAATGCTGCAAAATGAAATCATTTTTAAATATTTTAGTTTGTAATTTTATTTCTCTAGGTACAAGAAGGAATGCATCTTTTGATAACTGGTCCCAATGGTTGTGGGAAGAGTTCCCTCTTCAGAATTTTAAGTGGGCTCTGGCCTGTGTATGAAGGAGTCCTCTATAAACCACCGCCTCAACATATGTTCTATATTCCACAAAGGTAGGTAATTTTTTTATATCACAAGAAACAGTTTCCTTTTGCTTTTGAAGTATCTCCATTCCTTAGGCTCTTCAGTTAGTAATCTTTAAGCAGGTTTTCATTAAGAGAAGCTATTAAGGAGCTAAAAATTCAGTTATCTTAAAAAGTTTTATTACTGTTTTGATTATAATAGTTCCCAGGACAATACCATTTGTTTTCATTTTTACATGTGTCTAGATATAATTAATGTTCAAAGACTATAGATGTGAGTCTCCAGGAATAGCAGGCTAGTCAAAAGGGTAACTAGATTGTCTTAGATATCAGATCATGTCTTGTCATAGAAAAAATTATACTTGGAGAGTATACGTGTCTCTCCATCAAGCTGCATTCGTTCATTTGTTCTAAAATTGTTCACATATGTTTTAAAAGCCTCTGTAAAGTAGCCTTTATTACAGTTATGCTACATGATTAATTAATGATTGGAAACTACCTTAATTAAAACTATTTTACTCTAAGGATGAATGTAAAGTAAACATAGAAAAGAACAGTTTCTTTTGAAGTCTTCAGCCATCGTGCCTCATAGCACTTTAGAAATGTCTAAACACAGAATTATGCTTGAGAATTTGGAAAAGTCACTGTGGATGAGAGAAAATGATATTGGAAGACGCATATGTCATGCTCATCTGACCAGTAATTTCTATCTGTAATCACCCTGGGTCAGGTCGACGTCACAAACTCCTCCTACCGTGTTGGAGAACGATTCTACTGACCCCAGTAGAGCCCAGGCCATACGCATAGACCAGAGCAAATGTAGGAGTTACGTCAAGTACGGTGCAATCACACTTCTCTTTTGCCCCCTTTCCTTTGTCAGAGAGTGCTTGTACCATCGCCCATTGCTCTAGTGTTTAGACCGCATGTTGTACTTAGGTAGAGGAGGTTCTGTGGGGTTCTTTGCTCTAAAATAAGACCTATATTAGTGATAGGAAGCTATCTGAAGTGCAGAAGGCTGTAGAACTGCCTTAGCAGTAAGAACATACTGGATGCGAGCAGTGTCATGACCACTCATGTTACACGCTGAAGAGAGCACTTCTTGTGATACCAGAGCAGCCATTGTCTCTGCTTTACAGCCCTTTGGGAAACCTTCTGAATCTGAAAACTAAATTATACTGCCAAAGTTTAAGTGTCAGACATTAATGTTTTAAGTGGACTGATTTTAATTTTTATTCAGGTTATAAAACGTAGTTTCGTGAGGAAAATATTGTTAAATGATAGAATAACTCAAAGAAAATAAAATTATATACAAAAATTTTATGTTTTTAGCTATTTTATATTTCATATATAATATGAAAGATACAGTTCTTACATATAGCTGTGCCCTGAGAAATATGACATTTCCAAGGGATAGGAAAGTTCATAATCCAGCCAATTCATCCTTCAGAAATGGAGGAAGAATAAAGACTCTCCTTTATTAAGAGTCTGTATCTATCTCCTTTATTAAACAAAAGCTAAGGGACTTCATCACCACTATACCTGTCTTACAAGAAATGCTAAAAGGAGTTCTTCAAATTGAAATGTGAAAGGGTGCTGATTAGCAACATTACAATGTATGATAATATGCAATACTGGTCCAGGTAAATATATAGTCGAATTCAAAATACTCTAATGCTGTAATGTGGTGTGCTAACCACTTAACTATTAGCACAAAGGGTAGAGAACGAGATTATTAAAAGAAACAATAGCTAGTGTAATTTGTTGATTATACTGCACAATATAAATAGAGGTATAATATTAAAAACATAAAAGGGGAGAGTAAAAGGGTAGATTTTTTTAATACAATCAAAGTTAAGTTGTTATCAGCATAAAATAGACTTAAGTTTTATGTAAGCCTCATGGGAATGACAAAGCAAAAACTTGTCATAGATTCACAACAGATAAAGAAAGTAGAATCAGAACATACCACCATGGAAAACCACCAATTTACAAAGGAATGCTTCCGAAAAGGAAGCGAGGAACAAGAGACAACAGCCAGAAAACAGTAAGATGGCATTAGTAAGTCCTTACCTCTCAATGATTACTCTACATATAAATAGATTGAATTTCGCAATCAGAAGGCATAGAGTGGCTGGATGGATTTAAAAAAACAAGACCCAAAATGCTGCCTACCGGAGACTCACTTCAGCTTTAAGGATACACATGGACTGAAGGGACAGAAAAACATATTCCATGCTTTGATATCAAAGCTAGATTAGGATGCTACAAGATAAGAAAACTACAGACCAATATGCCTGATGCAAAAATTCTCAAACAATATTAGCAAACTGAATTCAACAACTCATTCAAAGAATCATACCATGAACAAGCAGGATTTATCCCTGGGATGCTAGGATTGTTCAACATATGCAAACCAATAAATGTGATATACCACATTAATAGCATAAAGATAAAATCACATAATCATCTTAATAGACAATGATGAGGCATGTGACGTATTACAACATGCCTTCTTGATAAAAACTCTCGACAAACTGAGTATATAAGGGACATACCTCAACATAATAAGGGCATATATGACAAAACTGTGAACTAATATATAGTGAACTAATATTTGACAAAGGAGCAAAAAACATACAATAGAGAAAGGATAGTCTCTTCCATAAATAGTGTTGAGAAAATGGATAATCACATATAGTGGGATGAAATCGGACCCCTAATGTACAGTGCTTACAAAAATTAACTTGAAATGGGTTAAAGGTTTAAACAAAAGACCTGAAGCCAGAAAACTAGAAGAAAACAGAGAAAAATTTCCTTGACACTAGTCTTGGCAATTCTTTTTTTTGAAATGGTGCCAAAAGCAGAAGGAGTGAGTGGGACTACGTCAAACAAAAAAAGCTTCTTCACAGCAAAAAATTTATGAAATGAAAAGGCAACCTACAGAATGGGAGAAAACATTTGCCAATCATGTGTTAACAAGAGTTTAGTATCAAAAATATGTAATGAATTCATACAATTCAAGAGCAAAAAGCAATTCTATTGAAAAATGGGCAGAAGAGGAACTGAAAAGATATTTTTCCAAAGAAGACATACAAATGGACATGAAAAGGTTCTCAACATCATTAATCATCAGGGAAATGCAAATCAGAACCACAAGGAAGTGTCACCTCACACCTGTTGGAATGGCTGTCATGAAAAAGACAAGAAATGACAAATGTTGGTGAGGATGTGGAAGAGGGAAATCCTGTGTGCTGTTGGCGGACTGTATACTGGTGCAGCTCCTGTGGAAAACAATACAGAGGTTCCTCAAAAAATTAAACATAGAACTACCATTTGATCCAGCAATCTCACTTCTGGGTATATATCCAGAGGAAATGAAATCAGGATCTTGAAGAGATTTTTGCACCCCCATTTCTATTGCAGTATTGTTTGCAACAGCCGAGATACGGCAGCAAGCTGTGTTCATCAGTAGATGAATGGACAGAGGATATGTGGTGTCTACATACAATGAAATAGTATTCAGCTATGAGAAAGAAGGAAATCCTGTCGTTTACAACAACCTGCACGGAACTTGAGGGCTTTATGCTAACTGAAATAAGTCAGCCAGAGAAAGACAAATACTGTAGGATATCACTTAACTGTGAATATAAAAAGCTGAACTTGTAGAAAAAGAGTAGAATGGTGGATGGAGATGGAGAGTGGGGGAATTCAGAAGATGTTGGTCAAAACGACAAACTTCCATTTGGAAAGTGAATAAGTTCTGGGAATCTGATGCACAGCATTGTGATTATAGTTAACAACAATATACTGTATACTTGGAAGTGGTTAAAAGAATTAAATCTTCAATGTTCTTACCACAAATAAGAAACGGTAATCATGTGAGGTGATGCAAGTGCCAGGTATCAGTGTGGTGATAGTGACTTTGCTGTATGCAAGTATAACACACCAGCTTGTTGTATACCTTAAACTTACACAATGTTTTATGTCAGTTTTATCTCAAACCTGGAAAAAAAAAGAAAAAAATACCACTGCACACTTAAAAATGGTTAAGATGGTAAATTTTGTTATGTGTATTTCACCATAAATATTAAGAATTGGGAGAAAAAACAAAGGGCATCAACCCCAGTCATTGCCCCCAGAGAGACTTGCTATTTTATTTTGCAACAAACATCAATTACTGAGAAACTTTTTCTTAGTTATGAAATTTACTTTCACCTTAGCAAAAGTTCACCTACAACTTAGTTGGAGAAAATGAGAATGAAAAGTCTACTTTTTAAGACTAAAGTATTTTTATTAAGTAGTGTTAAAAGTCATTTTATCTTGATTAGATAGTTTCTAGAAACACAAAAATTTGTGTTTATGTTTAAAATCTTATAGGACCAATATCTTGTTAAAAAGCATAGAATTTTTTAAAATAGTTTAAATATAAACTAAGAGAGTCTAAATGTAGCATTTATTTCTTATATTCTGAAAGCCACTGATTTTTTTTTGAGAAAATTTAGAAATAATCTAAATTTTTATGATTTGTAAAGAAAGCTTATACAACCCATCTTAAAATATTTATCAGTAGGTAATCTTATTTTCTTCTTGGAATGTTCTCATTAATGAATATTATCTAATATTTTATTGCATTAATTTATAACAATAGAATATTGGTTAAGTACTAGTTAAGCAGAAAAAAAACTATAAAATATAGAATTGAGTCCTGTGTACCTATGGAATAAACTTCATAAGTCACAAATAGACCTTTTAATAGTCCCTATATGCTCATTTTTTGAAATTGAAAAACTTGGTAGAGAATGAATCTCTTTGTGCAATGAACAAATATACATTAATTGTTATTTTCATGGGATAAAAATGAAAGGGTTTGTTGAAGTAGATCTCTGATAATGTCATGTAGTATACAGAAGAAAAAGTGAACTATTGAAGGAGAAAACATTCTAATTAAGCATATTAGGCCACTTATTTTTTTTAACCAAATCTTCAGAGAATGCTGCTATGTATGGTTCAGATCACAAGCTGGGAAACCT